CTCTTCCCCCCCCCCCCCCCCTCAGGGATGGTCTGGTCAATAATGACAATTTTTTCGATAACTCAGCCATTTCTTGACGGATCCTTCTCATTTTCGAACTCGACTGAGATATTGATGAGATCATTCTGTGTACAAAATTTCATGACAATTGGATGAGACTTTCAAAGGTTATCGTGCTAACGGCCAAAGCAGACTTAACAACAAAATATTAAGTATAGCACTATGGCAAACAACATAATAAACTTTTATAAAAAATATATTATATTATTCTTCATAATTACATTATACATATGTCGTACTGTTTTTATCGACTGCTTTACCTTTATATTATTCACGAAAATGTCTATGGTAATTTTATCAGTATAGGGTCTGATGAGCATTTTCGTGCAGTTTTACTCATATTTGACTATGAACTATTTAAACCATTGTATATTCTTGCGTTTTTGCATTCAGTTCAGTGCCCTTGCCATATTAAACTAGATAACATGCAATTTTTACTGGACAAAAGTTATGTTTTAATCAATTGGTCAACAAGACAATGAACGGTTGCTGTTTATTATAAGCGTGATTAATCATATCTAGTATTTTCTTTCTCGATTAAATAGATAAACTAAATGAATATTCTATAATGTACATTGATTCAGTTTTTGAGAATTATTATGCAATAATACAACTAATCTTCTATATCCACAGCTTTCAGTATTGTAAGGGAATCTTTTTTTGCAGGTCATCCATTATTTCACGTAATAATAATGATACATATAAGAATAAGCTTCTACAGGAAAAACAAGAAAAAGAAATGAGATTAAATACACATTAAACTATTTGAGAGATTTATTTCTATAGAAAATTCTATTTTTTATTGTTTATGAAACAGTTGTATACGGCTGAAAATTTCTCCTATTTTTATATTTACAATAGTTAATTTTAATATTCACGATAGATATTTTGCTACAATTTCAGTCATTGTGTTCAATATATGGGAAAATAAATAGATAATGAAAATTTGTATAACAAAACAAAAAATCTAAACTTTCTTTTACTTGATAGTAAGATTTGCTGAATCCATTCGAAAGTTGTTATAAATGCACCACAATAAAAAAAAATCTTCAGCATTTTACAAACCTTTTGATTGGCTATCTTTATAAATTTTATTTACATTACATTGATCCGATTGAGTTTTGAAACAGAGAATATTTCATTTAGAGAATGTGAAACTAAAATCTCTCTAGCATATGGTATCATCGAAGCGTAAGCGGATGCAAGTTACTCTATTTTTTTAGTTTCGATTTCTGTGTCTCCAACGGTTCTTCCAGATTCAAAAATCAAGGATACTGTATTTTCAGTAATCAGTAAATGATTTGATGCAGATACTTTCCCTGATCCTGATGTTTGGTTCACATAAAACTATAAAGAGTAACACACTGAAATAAAATCGGATAAGCAATAATACTCAGGACAATGATTCCTGAAGCAGTATTCCGTGAATTTCCGGCGAAAACCTGCAAGAAACTCGCTGTTTCCAACCGGAACCCACCTAGAATTGTCCGGGATTTGATGCAGGAATCCGGAAACCGTATCCGGCTACCAGTTTTGACAGGCTCCTGTCGATTCCGGCTGGAACCTGATATGCTTTTTCCACGCCCTTATTCCTGTGAAATTTTCTGGTTCTTTTGAATCACAGCCATTTCTTGAGTTCATGATGAATCGGGTCTAATTCTTATGAATGGGCCAATTCCACACAAATAATTTAGTCGTTGCTGACAATAGGTATCCCACCAGAATTGACTACATGAAACTATTGGATACGAAAGAAATATATATTTTTTGATTTATTGGTTCTGTCAACCATAAACTCATGCAAGTGATGATAGTCACGAAATGAATATGATAATCGTTCTCGTAGGTTTTGTTATGGAAAATCACCAATCAGAATAAAAGACATGTCGACTTCTGGAGTAATTCGGTATTGGTTCTAATCAGTGCTCGTCGAGTCGAGAGGCAGGAGAAAGTGAACTATGGTAACAGAAATTATGGATATTTGAACTTCAATACAGCATTACATAACGAAGCCTATGACTGATAAAAAAAATATTGATTCTTAAAATAATGAGGCGAGTCTATTGCATATTTTCATCGTAAACACAAAATTCAATTGGTTTTATCAGCATTCTTCTTGCATAAAGTATTTATTTTGCAAAAAAAAATTGAGTGCTTAAGAGAACCTTAGACAAAGATCAAGTTTCTTTTTTTTTTACAATACGATATGATTTGCGGCTCTTATTGTAATCGAATTCGTAGAAAATTACCGATTCATTAAAAATAAAATTAAGTACTACCAATGCTTTTCTTCATTTTAAGGAAAGCGTGATGTTTTCAACAGTAATTTGTTGTTTCATATTCATTCTATTCAGGTAGCTATTAAAATCGATTGGTTTCCTATTGAAATAATCTTGAACAATCTTTCTTTTAAGTTTTGCAGGTTTGATTATTGCTTCATTATATTTACCTTGCTTTTAATGTAGTGTACCATTAGTTTATGTCAAATGTCAAACGTATGATGAGATGAATCAATATGTTCAATGTTCCTTGAATCCAGCATGCGTTTATTTCCGTATGGCAGCTCCTGCAAACACTAGTATTTGTATCGATGAATTCCTACGATCTTGTTCTGAACTAGTTCCATGCCAAGGCCCTAACCATGATTGCCATGAATATGAGGATTGCTGCGTTCATCATCCTCGATGCCATGCTTTTCCTGTTTGTTATCCAGTACCGAGTTTCAATTCACAATTCTGCCCATCGATAAGTAAGAGTAAAAAATGTGACCTTGCCAAGTTTATGAGATGTTTGAGATTCTTTTTAGAGAAGAACTTGAAAATTGTAACTGTTATAGATCGAAGATTTAAGAGAAAATTCTAGCCATTCATCTCTATACTATTGAACTGCTCTTTTACATATAGTTACTAACAATTAGTAAATATCTCTATGAGACTTTAAATGATAAATGTCGTATATCAAGTAATTAAATTTTCGTGCTGTAGCAGCCAGTACTATTTTACTTTTGGTTACATTAAGATCTAACTTATCTAAGCAGTTCAAACAATATTAGAGCGCTGTTATGAATATTCTATGCTCCCGTTTTTTCTACTTAAATCCTGTGTTCAGTTAAATGCATCAAATGATATATCACCTTCTATTACATCATAAATCAAACTATTTGATTTGTAAACACAAATATTCTGTAATAATTCATAATTACGAATACTATAGGTACAACTACAACGAGCAGCATCACGACAACGAGCAGCACCACCATAGCGAGCAGCACCACCACAACGAGCAGTACAACTACAACAAACAGTACTACTACAAGCACAACTAGAATCCCTACACAACAAATAGGTAAAAGTTTGTTTATCTCATTTTGTCCGTCCTCAATTCCAGACTGTGTGAAACACGATCTAAAACGAGTGTTGCAGTGTAGAAGGAAGGAACTCGTAACTTTCTTTCCAGCCTCCTGCAGACCGATGACAGACCATTTTAACAAATTCAACTTTCATTTTAGAGCGCCGGTAGAAATCCTTTGAAAACTAACCCACCCCGAAAACTTTGTCAGGCGGCCTTCAAAAATCTATGACTCGTTTCTAAGATAAAAAATATAGGTATGATGAGGATCTGTTTCCATTTCTTTGGTTTCTTTCAGTGATACCCAATATTCCAGCAAATGCCCAATGGGAACCGAGTGGGATAACGGTTGCTGGAGGTCATGGGTCAGGTAGTGCCCTCAATCAACTTTCGAGTCCTTACAGTCTCTTCGTTGATAATGATCAAACAGTGATCGTTGCTGACAAAAACAATCATCGTATCATCCAGTGGAAGATAAATGATGCGAATGGCCAAGTGATTGCAGGTGGTAATGGGCAAGGAAACCAGTCGAACCAATTGCATAGTCCCACCGATGTGTTGATTGATAAACAGGCCAATAGTCTCGTTATTTGTGATACAGGTAACAAACGAGTGATATTGTGGTCTCGTTCTAGAGGCGCAACTCATGGAGAAATCCTCGTCGACAAGATTGCATGTTTCGGATTGTTTATGGATGATAAAAGATATCTCTACATTTCTGACACGGCAAAAAGTCAAGTCAGACGGTATCAAATGGAAGACAAGACTGGAACACTCATTGCTGTTGATAACCCCCTAAGCACAGATTTTAATCCACTCCAAAGCCCGAGCTATATATTTGTCGATGAACAATATGCTATCTATGTATCGGACGACAATCATCATGTGATGAAATGGAACAAAGATGCAACAAAAGGTAGTGTCATCGCCGGAGGTAATGGAAGTGGAAATGCTCTCACACAATTGTCCCACGGCGAAGGACTCTTTGTCGATAAGTTAGGTACCCTCTATGTGGTAGACTATGGAAATCATCGAGTGATGCGCTGGACTAGAGGAGCGAATCAGGGCATAGTGATTATAGGTGGAAAAGGCTCCGGAAAAGCAGCGAATCAACTCAACTCTCCGTTCGATTTATCTTTCGATCAGTATGGTAATATTTATGTCGCCGATTATGGAAATCATCGTGTTCAACGATTTTCTCTCGTATAGACTCGTCAAGATGTTTTGTTTTCTTTCGAATAAATCACAAGGATGCAGTATAATGTATAATCATCTTAATATTCGCGTAGGCGAACGCTCGCTTCACATATGCCACCCATCTTATGAGTATGCGGAAGACCTGTTCATGTGTCATGAACACAAGAGAGTTCCTGTTGATTTGACGAGATCTTCCCCGAAAGGATCTCATTCAGTATCATTCATGTTGGCATAGACGGTTCTGGTAATTGTGGACACGAATATGTGAATTTGTTCTTGAATGACAGTCACATTCCAAGAAAGTTCTTATCTACAAAATTCTTATCCTATCAACGACAACTGCTACATACTACAATCACAGTGGTATGGGCAGTACAATTTCTTGCGAATTCTTGTCCTTCTATTGTTAGTTTTCAATCAGATAAAATTAAATAACGAAGATACATTCACTGCTTACATCGATTCGATGGAATCTATCAATCAGAAATAGATTTCAGTGATGTTCAGAAAATTATCAAGATATTTTTTGGCTGAAATATTCTCCCAGTTAGATGATCAAGCTCATCTACACCCACACGCTCAAGTTAATATTATTTCTTTATACAATTAATGAGCGTTTCTTATATACCAGCGCTGCCAGAACGTACAGCTTTTTCTAATATTCTGTTTCCTTTTCAAATTATCAATTCTCAGGTTTCAATTGTCTTTATGACGTGAAATTTGATTCGGAATCGGAACCAGTGCCTGGACCGTTTATGAATGAGTTTTTTTGGTCTGGGACGATAAATTGATATAGAAATATGAGACCAAAGCCATGCAGAAGTTGTTTCATGCAAACGCTATCATAGTATGTGACCTTTAAGTTATCGCGGTAAAAAAGAAAGAGTATACTTTCATTATGTTAGTTTTTTATCTTTGCTCCATAAAAGTATATGCAACTTTTCACCATTGGCGGGCCAGGGTAATTTTTTGTGGTGGGGCAAAAGTTATTAAAATGTCTACAGCATCTATTAAAAAATATAGGTTTGAATTTTCTTCATATATTTCAATTACCATGCTGAGAACTTTTTATTGTGTTCATCCTGTTCATTGGATATTTATTACTTTTACTCTTACAAAGTGACGAAAGAAATAAAAAGATATGATCATCAACTTATTTGGGTGGGGCAATTGCCCCACCGTGCCCCAATGGTGGCCCGCCGATGCTTTTCACATATGGTATCGTTTTGTTTGCCTTTACATTGTATCTAGTTAAGAATCTTCCTTCTCCACAAAGAAAAATATCAACAACAACTATTACTGAGCCTGTTGCAGAACGATGGGAGCGAGATTTTTCACAGACAAAAATTGATGGTACCACATATAATTACATTATTGTTGGTTCTGGCTCAGCACGTTCTGTCCTGGCAAATCGTCTATCAGAGCAAGGTGATAAACGTGCTCTTTTTATTGAAGTTGGTGGTGCCAACTCAAATGATGAGATACATATGCCATGCGCTTGGTGAGTAGGAGTACAACAAATTAATATGCCTAAGTCCTTCAGTTCGCACTCACACTCACACACACACACACACACACTTGTATAAATGGATTTTCTGACTCGCATGCTTAAGTATGCCATTTTATGCGCTCTAGTGGTACGTGCCAACGTGGTGATATTGATTGGCAATATAAAACTATACCACAACTTTATTCACATTTTGGCTGTGCTAATCAGCAAAGTAGTAGGCCACGTGATAAAGTTTTAGGAGGTTGTGCTTCTATTAACTATATGCAATATGTTCGGGGTGATCCACATGATTACGATAGTTGGAAATTGCCACAGTGGTCATTTGAAAAAATGTTGCCATATTTAAAAAAATTAGAACGAGCTGATTCCAACACAATTCCAAGAAATAATCATTTTCGTAATTATGATCATGATAAGGGAATGGTGGATGTAACGATGCTCGACGATGCGAATGCGACTAATCAGATGTTTATCGAAGCATGTGAGAAGAATGGATTTCATGAAACTAAAGATTACAATGCAGAAGAAAGTCTGAATGGATGTGTATCACTATCACAAGTTTCAACAAAAGAAGGAAAACGATGGCCAACACAGCCAGTGACTATCTGTTGTCGGCAGTAAAGCAAATAAATTTTGATTTACTAAATCATGCGCATACTTGCCGAGTAGTATTTGATGAGCAAAGACAAGTGACGGGTCAGTATAAAATTAGAAGCATCTATTTCAGGGCAATACTTTTAAGTGAAACCATCTAGCGCTTCAAGATAGACCATGAGAATTATGATTGCCGTAGTATTTGTCATATTTGAATCAATCAGAAATCTAAAACGGTATTTTTATATTTAGGTGTTGTTGTTAAACGTATTAGTTCATTAGATGAAGAAGAATTCATCGGTGGTAAAGAAGTAATACTATCAGCTGGTGCAATTGAAAGTCCTGAAATGCTGATTCTCTTTGGAATTGGTCCTCGAGAATAATTAGAGAAACTACAAATACCAGTGATTATTGATTTACCTGGTGTTGGCAAAAACTTACAATATCATCTATGCGCTCTTCTCTTCTATTTGAGTTCAATCCCAACACTTTCAGCTCGTGATCTCACACCTGAAAACCTACAACAATGGGCGACTCATGGGCGAGGTCTTTTAACATCATGTGGTATTGAATCGTTAACGTGGTGTCAATTAAATGAAGATGGTAATTTTCGAGTATAGTCTCCTTTCCACTCTATCGAATCACGAATTGATATTTATTTTTTTATTTTCTCAGACAAGATACATGTGCCTAATCTTCAAATGCATTTTGGTCCTTTTACAATATGACATTGAACTTTTCAAGAGCCTAAACTTGAAATTAGATACTTTTGACAATCATTATAAACAATATCTAGAAGATGGATCGCAATGGACTGTTGTATATTTACCGACACTTCTACATTCAAAGTCAAAAGGTGAAATTACATTGGCGAGTTCTGATCCTCTTGTACACCCCGTTAGCGATCCAAACTATTTAGCAGAGAAAGAAGATGTTCACGCACTGATTGAAGGATGTAAACTGGCTGAAAACATTTGCAGACTGAACCTCTAAAAGCAGAATTGAAGTTAACAGCGAAAGAAATGAATGGAGATGACGTATTTGAGAACGACGATCAGTTTCAGGAATCGTATATTCGGAAGTACTCAGTTAGAGTGTATCATCCAACTAGTACATGTAAAGTGGAAAATGAAGAAGATAATATGTAGTAGTGGTGGTGCCAGGCGTGGGCTAAGCCCACCCAGAATATGTTAAGTTATCTTATTAGATATTTTTAAAATAAATAGGCAGTCTTCTATACATTCATACGAATAATTTACCATAGAACAAGAAACAGCTTTTCAAAAATTCGGCAAATTTTCTATTCATTTTTTTCGCTTTTCAAAACTAAAGTAGTTCGACCCCACCCTGGTAAAAATTCAGAGGCTTTGAGCCCATCCTAGTCTGAATTCCCGACGCCACCGCTAATAAGATGGTGGTTGTCACACCTGATATACGAATAAAAGGTGTTAGATGTTTACGTGTAATTGATGCAAGTATTATGCCAAGCATCGTTTCGGGCAATACAAAGAATCCGACCATTGCCATAGCAGAGAGAGCTGCTGATTTGATTAAGAATAGTCGTTAAAAAAAAGTATTTTCCAGCTTTTTACTATACTAAAATAAAAGAAATAATTTTTAACGATTCTTGATGTATCGAGCTTTAATTTTTTTTGTTTTTCTTAATTCAGTTCAATTACTATGGGGTGTGGGTGTGCAATTGACCATGTTCACACCTTCAAGAGATTACGTTTATCACCCCCTCCCCCTTACGGCCTCTTTATTGATAATAATCAGACATTGATCATTACTGACTGGTGTAATCATCATATTACTCAGCAAAATGATATGAATGGAAGAGTAATCGCTGATAGTAATGACGCAGAAAAGCAATGGTATCAACTGATCTATCCAACAGATGTGTTGATTGAAACAGAGACGTCGTCTCATTATTTGCGACCGGGACAGTCGATACGTTGTACGATGATCTTGTCATAGTGACACAACTTAAGAAATCTACATCAACAGCATCGATTGTTATGGATGATCAGAGATATTTCTGTCTTGTATGCCAGGACTGGTAGAACTTAAAGCCTTTCCTGATATTCCCAATTTTCTTCGTGACATGAAACTGGATTAGGAACTACGACTGTAGCTAGTCAATATTATGTGGTCCTCTTTTTTCAAATCTCTCATCATACATAAATAATACAGAATGATGATACAGATTATAATTCAATAAATATCTATTTATTTTTTCGAGAGCCCGTTTTGAAATAATCTTTTATTATAAATATGATGAATACCCATTATGCGATCGTAAATCTCACATTTTTAGTACTCATTTTGAACTCTACAATATGTCTAGGCTTCGTTGTGTTCCTCGTACAATAAATTAATTGAAGTAAAATTCTTTTAGAAAAGAATTTCATTGCAGAATGGGTAACTACAATGATTTACATGAGTGAAACATGTATAAAAAAAGAGCTGATATTTATATATAGGAGGGACATTTTTCTTCGAATAAAAACCAAAATAAATATTGATATAAATCGAGGACGACACGTAAAAAGGAATCAAATAAACCAATTTATATTTGTTCAAGAGCATTCACACGTTACCATTAAAAATGGCACAGATCATTATAATATTGAATGATTTTCTTTTTTCATACTTTATAGAAGCACATGCAAACAATCAAGGTAAGTTCTTAGCATAAATGTACATATTCTTTATGTTATTTAAATCATTCTTTATCCCAAGATAAGACAATGTTTCGAATGACTATCATTTGCCACAAATTGAAATCCTCAGATACATCTCTACATCATATCCACACTTGTGGAGAATAAAACAAATATGATCCATTCTGGTGACCAAATAGGGACTTTCATTTAGGGATTTTTTTTCAATATATGACATGGCTTATAGATCATAATTCAATACCATCTTCTGCCGAAAATATTTTACCGTTGAAACTAAATACTTTGGCGCTAACCATAGTATAGAAAAGTACGTTCTGGCAACCAGAATCGTACATATTCAATACTTATTAGAATCACTTCGAAAAGTAATTCTGCTTATCAGAAACTCGGAGAGTTGATTCTGGTCACCATTTTAACCAGTACCACCCAGGATACTGGTACTAATGCATCCCTAACTGAGACCCTGTTCGGTTGTAACTTGAACAGCATTTATTATAAAAAGAAAAATCCCTATTTGGTCACCAGAATGGATCATATTTGTTTTATTGTCCACAAGTGTGGATATGATGTAGAGATGTATCTGGGGAATTCAATTTGTGGCAAATGATAACCAACCCAAATTTCATTTGAATAAATTATATCCAGACGAGAAAACATTCGATTTTTTTCGACAAGAATGGAATGCTAGACTATTGACAGTGATAATAAATATACATATATATATATATATATATATATACGAGTATATATATCTATCTCTATACGTATATGTACAAGAAAGATGAATAGGAAACAAAAATATTTTAATCATCAAGAGTCCTGGTTGATGAACAGCAACCAAATAATTTTCCATAAGCGGACTCGGATTGATTATTTGTTAAATTAATATTTCCAGTTTGATGCGTGGATGATGATTGTTGTTCACGTGATGCAACTTCTTGTTTTTGATCAAGTAATTTTTCTGTTAGAAAATAAAACATTTTCGATACTGTTGGACTTGTATCTGATTTTGCACTTGTTTCAAAGAAGTCGACACGAAATTTATCAGCTAATAATTTTCCTTCGTGAGTTGAAACAATGAGGCGATCATGAAGGTCACTTTTGTTTCCAACTAATATTCGAACAACATCATCGGGAGCATTTTCATCGATATTTCTCATCCATCGAGCTATATTTTGAAATGAACTTGCATCGGTACGATCATAAACAAGAATTATTGCGTCAGCATTACGCTAAAATAAATAAATAAATTTAAAATACGAACATAAATATTGACTTACATAATAAGATCGAGTAATGTTAAAGAATTTTTCTTGGCCAGCTGTATCCCAAAGTTGCAATTTAACGGTTTTATCTCGTACACGAAGTGTTTTGATTTTAAAATCAATGCCAATCGTAGGTGTAAAGGATTCAGCGAACATGTTGTCTATGAAGGAAATAAAAAAGGGTACCTTTGAGATTTACCATAAATTCGATCGTATTTTGTTTTCTCACTAATCGAAATTCAACAAAGAATTGTAATTAGTAATCTCAAAAGAACGTATAAACTACTTCTGTTTGCCTGATCTATGCATTACTGTTGATTCTTTGTTCCGCTTTCAATTTCTCTAGTTGTATAATAGAACTGCAGAGCAAAAAATAGCGTGAACCTTGACCTTTAGGATAAAAATCAACTGATTTGATTTTTTCGCTGCATAGAATAACTGAGCCATTCTAGTTATGAGATATACATACCAGCAAATCGAAACATTAAACATGTTTTACCGACACCACTATCACCAATAAGTAAAATTTTAAATGACCAATCTGGTTGAGTATGTTTCATCGTCATGATTGAGAAAACAAAATGTATCTAAAATGATCACAGGATATTAAAACATTATATTTCTGTGTCGAATAACATTGTATTCAGCATGAAGAAAGATCGAGGAAACAATGTAATAAATTGACACGTCATGTTGAATACGAATCGTAATGAATAAAGTACTTAGTCGCTGTTTTTTTTTTGATGATCATCCGACGTGCGTGTAGGCATTAAAAGAACGAGAAATAAGAAATGGAGACGAGAGAGAAAGAAAAAGACATAGTTTGCATCGCTAGTTGGTTAGTAGTAAAAAAAAAAGAACGATAGAAAATAAAGCAAGGAAGGTCCCTTTCGATTGCATGTCGTTCTGCAGTTTTTTTTCTTTTTTGTAGCGAGCAAGTAAAAAGCAAAAACAGATGATAGTAGACACAGCTATTTTGTTTTGCATGCGATTTGTCTCTTGCTGAAGAAGAAAGAGAAAAAAAGAAATATGCGATACATGTTTCGTATATTCGATACATAGAGATAGGACAAACCAATTAAATATATGAATCAGATACTAATCTATGAAAAAAAGACGAATACATACAGAATAATATATCGATGAACTGACGTTTGCATTACTGACGAGTAGTTCAGTCAGGTTATCATAATGAGAAACGTTTTTTCCTAATTTCTTAAATGTAACTGTAGCAAAATGATAGACTAGGGAAAAAGCACGTTTTCTATTCTTCCAGAACATGAATGAATCTCACTTAATAAAAACGGAAAAAAACAACCAACACTTTTCCTAATGACAATACTAATGTATTACTTACATTAAAGATTTTATTGGTCGCCATACACTAGTCATTAAGACTAATGAGTTTGCACGATCCAATGCAATAATTAGTAAGAGAAAATTCCTTGGGGCACTTATGGTACTGAAGTTTTTTTTTTGCGTAAATCTACTACTCGAATGAAGATGACGTTTCCGAGCAAGAGTAGGCGCTATATTTGAAAAAAACTACTATATTTATTCTATTTGCATCCAGGCTAATTCTAAAAACAGATGTAGCAAATCCTATAAATTAGACACGTATCACAAATAACTGACACAAAGATTTATAGGTTAGTTACTCTATCCTCTTAGGTATGACAGGGTATGTTTAAAAGCTTTTTCGCCATCAGGATATAGGGTGCGAAATAAGCAGAACTGACACATGCCTAGCGGGTACTAGCATTCTTTTGCCTTACTTTGCAAATATTGGAGTTTGACTTGCGTATAATTATCATGGCTAATAAGATTAATCCATGCCGATAACAAATACAATAGCTCGGCATCTTTCTTATACGTCTAGCATACTATTGCACAGATCATTCAAAGCGAATAGCACACACTACCTTGGAAATATAACCACGAAAAACTCGAGTCTCTCTGAACACAGTATCCTTTAATCTATTTCAAAGCATCGGTAAATTGGACAGCAATGATAATTCTTCGAAAGAATATTTATCAAATACAAAAACAGTTACAGGATCTTTTTTATCAATCAAAAAAAGCACGTTTGACTGGATACTAAAAAAAAACCAGGGCGGCTAGTTACAGTTCATTTGGCACCACTTTCGAAGAAATCCTTGGCTTCATTGATTTTCGCCGCAACATACGGTGAACCACCTGGTACAGAAAAAACAAAATGATACAATCGAAATTCTATATTCAAATTTACCTCGATCAGGATGATTTTGGATAATCAATCGTTTGTATGCTTCACGTATTCGTGCTTTATTTGCTGTTGGACTTAACACGCAGTCAAATTTAATAATAATTAGAAAAGCACATGTGCTGTCAATGTTTTACCTTATCCCTAATATAAGTGCTGCTTCACGTCGATTCATTTTTGGATCTATTTATTATGACATAAAAATAGAAAATTTCGCACCATTATTTTTAATTCTTACCAAATCCACCTTTATAATACTTGGACTAAAACGAAAAAGAAAACAATACAAAACATAAAATCAATGTACTATATTGTTACTGAAAGTCCTTCAGCAAGAACACCTGTTGTCTTCGTTAAATTTTCTGCTATTGTTTTACCATGCCGAGCAATATAACGGCCTGCGAATCCAACAACAGTTAAACCAATGCCGATAGCAACTGCTGTACTCTGAATACGAAAAATTGACAATTTACCATAATCTAACGAATCATTCACTCACCATAATAATCTAGAAAAAAGGAGAAATGAACACAAAAATCATTATTTTGTTTGGTCTGAAAAATTATTTCACAGAAAAAAAATCAATTTAATTGAAATGACACAGAAAAAAAATCGTCTGTAAATAAAATTAATAGTATCCTCGTGGAACAACAAATGTTAAATAATCTCCAACTGGACCCATTCGAGTTCGAAGTTGTTGAAATATAATATTCCATGCAATAATTATAATACACCAAATGACTGTACCGATTGCACTTCGAATTACATCTGCAAGGAAAAATGTTGATTGAAAAAGTTAAATCAAAATAATCTGTTTTTGTAGTTACATTTTCGAATTTCCGCTTGTTGTGGATATGGTTCAACTTTAAATGCTTGTCGAAAAAACCAAATGAAATTGATCAGCCACAGGAGTGGTAAAAAAGCGAAACCACCTAGATAATATTTACGACAAATAGTCAATCGTTCTTCAGGTGATTTTCTGGCTAACGAAACCATTTGTCTTCTGTTTCAGTAGATGGTCTTTCTTCGTAATAAGAATTTATTGTAAGTGTAAATTGACAACCATTGTCTGCTTCAAATTTAAGATTGGTCGGATATGTAAACATTGTTTATAGCGACATCTTTACATACCAATCATCATTGGATTCAAGAGAACTAGGTCAAACACTAGCACAAAAAACGTGAGAATTGTTTTTGCCAGAAGAAATTCGATTTTATATCGATAAAAAATAACCCTTGTTTTGTAAATAAATTTTTTTCCACAATAGCCGAAAAAAATTGACGATTAACGCTGAAGATTTTTTTTGGCTGTGAAGAATATTTCTTAATCCTGAAAATGTTCTCCGCTATCAATTATCTAAAACTCCTCATTCTCGTATAAAACTAAATCGAAGTAAATAAATCACCGAAAGACAATTTTCTTTATTTACATTTTTATTAATTGGAACCAGACCTGAATCTCCGGTTCCGTTTCCGATTCGAATTGTTTTTACAAAAACAATTTTGAGTTCATCCCTAATCCAATGAGCAGTGCTAAATGTGCTTGTTTCTTCTAGATGCACCGTAAAATATTATCACCATCGCTATCGATAATCAATAGATGTGTAGCTTCAGCAAGTTCATCGTCAGTTCAATCCACAGCAAAACCTGTATCAGCTAAAACTCAAACGATTATCGACCGTGAAACACGTTTTGGAGCAGCAAATTATCACCCATTACCTGTTGTCATCCAACGTGGATCCGGTATGGGTCTCGCAAAAAAATTTTATATTCACTAAAGTAATTATTTTTCTAGGTGTATATGTATGGGATACTGATGGAAAACGTTATTTTGACTTCCTTTCAGCTTATTCCGCAGTGAATCAAGGACATTGCCACCCAAAAATTATAGCTTCCATGAAACAACAAGCCGAAATATTAACATTAACTTCCAGAGCCTTTCATAACGATGTACTTGGAGAATTCGAACAGTATGCTTGCGAACTTTTTGGTTATGAAAAAATGTTACCAATGAATACGGGTTAGCACCATTGAATTACATTTGGTAGGTGAATATATAGGGTTTCTCTTCAAATAGGTGTCGAAGGTGGAGAAACAGCTATTAAATTAGCACGTAAATGGGCATATAGTGTCAAAGGTATACCAAAAGATCAAGCTGTTGTACTTTTCGCTGAAAATAATTTTTGGGGTCGTACATTGGCTGCTGTGTCAAGTTCAACAGATCCATCGTGTTATGAAGGTTTTGGGCCATATATGCCTAATTTCAAAATCATCCCATACAATGATTTACAAGCATTAGAAGTAAATATTGTTTTTTTTTAAATACCATAGAACTTTGTAAATCGATTCATCTCTAGAAAGCATGTAAAGATAGTCGCGTCTGTGCATTCATGGTTGAACCTATTCAGGGCGAAGCTGGTGAGTAGAATATTGTGTTTATGATTAATTTTGAATCTAGTTGTCGTAGGTGTTTTTGTTCCTGATGATGGTTATTTGGCGGGTATTCGAAAGATTTGCACGAAAAATAATGTTCTTTGGATAGCTGATGAAATTCAAACGGGCATTGGTCGAACTGGAAAGTAAGTAAATCGAATTGAATTATTCGATCAATTTAGTTAACACTTATTGTAGATTGTTGGCATGCGATCATGAAAATGTCCGTCCCGACATTGCTATTCTTGGTAAAGCATTAGCTGGTGGCTTGTATCCAGTAAGTTTATTTAAATGAGAAAATAAACATTCGAACCGTTTGTGTGTAGGTATCAGCTGTTTTAGCGAGTGATAAACTCATGAGCGTGTTTACACCTGGTACACATGGTTCAACCTTTGGTGGAAATCCACTAGGTGCTCGCATTGCTATTACTTCTCTTAAGGTAAAATTTCAAAGAAAGATGAACTTAGCAAAATTCAAATAAAATCCAATTTTTAGGTCTTAATGGAAGAAGGCATGATTGAAAATGCTGCTAAAATGGGTGAATTATTACGCAAGGAATTAAATCGATTGCCTAAAGATAAAGTTAAAGTAGTTCGTGGTAAAGGCCTACTTAATGCAATTGTTATAGATTCGAGTACGTGATTCGATATAAATTATCGTTGATTCTTATTTTATTTCTGTTTTTGAATAGAATACGATGCATGGGAGCTTTGCTTACATTTACGTGATTTTGGTCTTTTAGCAAAACCAACGCATGGTGATAAAATACGTTTTGCTCCACCATTGAATATAACAAAAGAGCAGATCCTTGAATGTTGTTCCATCATTCAAAAAGCTGTTAATGCTATTTAGTCATTTTAATGATCTCAACTAACTTTTAACTTTTGCTTTTGATTTGACGATCTGAATTTTGTTTTATCAATTGACCTAAGAATAAAATCTCTATTTTTTAAATATATACATTAATTAGGATTTCATGATGATAGTATTTACTCGTGCATCTGTTTCATTTCTATATGTTTCATACGATGCATGATGGTGCCATGAAAATGGTGCCATGAAGAAAAAAATATCTAAGAAGTACGCCCGTGTGGCTCAGTGGCTAGAGCACTGGTCTAGTAAACCAGGGGTCGACAGTTCAATTCTGTCCTCGGGCATAGAAAAATTCTTTTTTTTTTCTTCTTTAAATACCATTACATAAAATTCCTTTACTATATAGTTTATTTTTGAAACAATAAATCGACCTGAGACATTATTGGCACGGACGTAAAAGGATTGAAGTTCGAAAACTAAGGTTGACAATATTTTCTAATCGATTAAATTTGAAAATTCTTGATGGATAGTGCCGAATGTCGTTGTATCAAGAAAAAAGTAAAAGCACAAACGACGACTTGGTTTTAGAGATTTTATATAGATATTCATATAATTGCAGGAGAAGTAACGATTAAAATAATTGTCTATTCGACGATTGAGACATCCGATCAACACCTCATAATCTTTTATCCTAACTGATATTTATCAACATTCAATTCATAGATTTGCCCTTGCTTTCTTTTGACTATCAACACCACAAGTGTCTTCATCATATATATAAGTTAGCGTCGTTGAATAGCCACCCGAATACAAATAAATAAACATTATTAGAGTATTTTTCCTTCAGTTCATGATCAGTACATTTTTATTTGTTTTACATAATCAAAGTAGAATGTTCTCGTTAGCATTGTTGATTGCCTTGTTGATCAGTGTGAGTAGTAATTCACATTGTCCAAACAGACAAATGATTGAAGAATCTCTTCGCAAAGTTCATATTCCAGGTGCAGTAATCGTTGTTGTCAATGCTACTGATATACTCTATGAAGAAGCTTTTGGTTATCATTCTCTATTACCGTCTAGACCAATGAATGTAAATCGATCCATATTTTCACTTGCTTCTATTTCGAAAACATTTATTGCCGTTGCTGTCATGCAATTAGTCGAGAAAAAACTAGCCGATCTCGATACGGATATTAATCAATATTTTTTTGAAGACAATCAAAAAATTTTTCATCCAAATTATTCAAATCATTCGATTACTTTACGTAAATTACTTTCACATTCTTCGTCGATTGCTGTTGATGAAAAACTACAAAATACTGTCTATCAACCGGGTGATAGTGCATTTGCTAAAGAGACTTTGGCTGATATGTGTTTCAATGTTTTAAGTCCAAACACATCGAATTGGTTACCGAGACCGCCGGGAAATGCAACACTCTATTCCAACGAAGCAACATCATTGGCTGCACTCGTCGTGGAACGAATTACTGAAATGCCCTATGAACATTATGTTGTAGAAAATATTTTCAAACCATTAAATATTGACATTCGTAAAACTGGTATTCGTCTAACTGATTTTCCGAGCAGAGACGAACTTGTTAAGCATTATGCCTATGCTATAGATGAATCTTCGCTTCAACAATGGAACAAAGAAGTACCACAATTGAGTCTTGTACAAATGCAGGTAGATATCTACAATATTAAAAAAAATTCGTTTTGCTTTATTCCGACTGATTCTTCTTTCAGGGTAATTTTCCAAAATGGTTATATTTTCCCTTTTTTGGTTTCAGTAGCTATCCAGCTGGTCTTTTACGTATGTCAGCTTATTCTCTATCGATTTTTCTTCGAATGTTTATCAATAATGGTACTCCACTTCTGTCTGCTCAATCCATTACTGAAATGAAAACTGTCGTTGGCGGTGGGCGTATTCGTCCCTATAACACGAATTCGAGTAGTAACGCTACCAATGAAATTCCACCGCGGCGATATGGACTCTGTTGGCATTGGAGAACATTGAACAATGGTCATCAATATGTAGGTCATAGTGGTACTTTACCAGGCATGACACATTTAATGCTAATTAATGAAAAACATACTATTGGTGTTATTGTACTTACTAATGGTGATGTAACTCTACCCATAGATTTATCTAGACAGATTCTCGATACCATAGAAAATATTCATGTTGCACTTTTCAAATGTTTTGAAACGAGTAGTGCCAATTCATATGTATTTCACATAAACAATATCTTTGTAATTTGTTTCTTTTTTCTTGTGGCTTTCGGTTTATAAAAGAAATGTCCTGTTTTTCTAAAGAAAAAGGAAGCTGGTTCATGCGTTTTTGATTTACCATAATATATAGATTATTTTTGAATGTAAAGCTAATTGAACGTTGATTGTTCACTACTCAAAGCAGACATGTCCATGAAGGAAAATGTAGATTCATGTCACAAACAGCTGAACTATATTCTTTTGTGTACTCAAAAAGTGAGTACACTCTCGATTCGGTCAGTGTGTCCGACCGTTAACACGATAACTCTTGAAAGTCTCATCCAATTGTCTTGAAATCTTGTACACAGAATGGTCTCATCAATATCTCAGTCGAGTTCGAAGATGGGAAAGATCCGTCAAGAAATGGCTGAGTTATCGAAAAAATTGTCAGCATGGGCCATTCCACCCCTGAAGGGGTACAGGAATTTTTTTCTTAGAATTATTCACAACATATATAAATCGACTCAGGTTTTGCAGTACACGTAACAATCGGATGCGAATCCGATGTTTGGTCATTTATTTTAAATCCGAAACTATACTGAACGCGACATAGTCCATAGAGAAGATTTCATTAGCCACGAATCAATTTACGTCTACATTTTTATGAATACAGAGATCTACGATGAAAAAAAATGATAATAAAAAGCACACAGATGGAAAAGTAAGCTAATTACTAAGTTTTTATATTTGACTAATGTCATAATTTGTATACATAATAGATGCTAAGCTTTTACCTCACAGATGTCAATCGAAAGTAATATTAGTATTGTTAATGATACGCCTATTTATCCATCAGTATTACCTGCCACACGTTGGATACCATTTGGAATTTTTGTTGGTCTGATCGTTCCGTCTATATGCTGTTATTTATATATCTTTCTGAAATTTATTTCTAAGGGTATACTACGAAAACATATTCGTTTTCATACTATATTCGCTGTATTAATTTGCAGTTTTCTTCAGGCAAAGTTGACATTTCCACGTTTCACTTTATGATTGATTATATTTACTTAGGTGACATCGGAATTACCAATTATACTTTCATATTTGCGACCTAATCTTGTTCTTATTCAATCAGATTTTTTTTTGCAAGTTTTGGGCGTGCCAAGATTATTCATTCAATGTGATGATTTTAATGCTAATGTGTTATACTGCAATAGAACGCTATCTACTTGTTTTTCGAAATCACTTTATTATGCAACATGTAATTATTCTTCGTTATATACCGATGATTTTGTGCATTATTTATCCAATAATACTCTATATTTATTTAATATTTTTCTATCCTTGCACGAATCAATTTGATTTTAATATGATTGCATGTGGTGGACCTTGCTATTTCTATCAAACAGCCATTAGTACATTCGACGAATTTATGGATCTTGTTGTCCCGGTTGCAGTTAGTAGTTTTGCTAGTCTTGCACTATTGATTCGGGTCATATTTCACAAGCATCAAGTGCAACAGCAACACCTATGGAAAAAAATCGATCACTGGATGAGGGTGAGTGAAGAGGATAATCATTTGCCCATACTTGCACTGACACACTCGCACCGATAAGCCCATTCCCTCAAATAAATAAATTTATATCTTAATCTCGCGCTGATTAACATTTTTTTAAATACAGTTAGGGAGCAAGTGTCACTGGGGAGGATCTTGCCGGGATTCAACTATTATATAATGTAATTTTATATAATCTTGTTGGGCTGCCTATGGTGATTTTCTCGTCAATTATGCTTGTTTCATCAGTTCCACAACCTTTCTTGGTCGAATTGAGTATTTATATTATTTTACCATGTAGTATTTATGTAGTCGTCTTGTTGTGTCCTTTTGTTTCATTGATGAGTTTAAGCGATATATGGCCTCAACGTGGTCGACCGATTATTCCACTTTTAAGAACGACTCAACGATGACCAACACATACTACATAACAATATCTCACTCACATGAAGAAAGTATAGAGAATTTTTTCCTCGATCTTTATTGTATTAATTTTTATTCGTTTAAATTATGAAAGAAAAAAATGTCTCTGTTGTTGTCATGTACTTGAAATAAAAAGTATACCATCAGCACGTTTTCCCTTTGTAATGAATATCATTTTATTGGAGTTGAAAAGGATAAAAAATTCGATATTTCCATTGTGTTAATTATAGATATCGAATAAACCATGAATATGATCTTATCATCAAAAGTAACTGTGGGCGTTGTGTTCTGCATTTTTTTCCTAATTAATTAGAACAAAACTGACATTCAAGTGTAGATAATGTCAAGCTAAAAAATAATCTCTCCATTAACAATTAGCATGATCAGCATGATATCTGTATCTAAGTTAAAGAGTCAAGTTTTTGATAAGCTTGATAATTATTTCATTTTTCTACTTCTATCTATAACATGCACATAATCCAGTCAGATTGTCGATCAAGATATCATGGAGACTGTAATAGAACTATATTCGACAAGTTGACTCGATGTTTTCTTCATTATACACAGAGAAATTTCGGTTAGTCTGGCGGAATGGAAGGTGGCTTGCCAGTACAACAAAAACCTATATGTGTAACTCTTGTGATATAAAATGGATACTGAATGCTAAAACAAAATTGTACCGTGAAGAAAAACGTTTTGATGGCAAATGAGTAGGGAAACATATATATCATGCTCAACTCTATCATTAAAATCTTCGAGAATATTCTGACAGGTAAACATTTTCACTGGACTTTCTCTCCATATTGTCGGCGCGTGCCTTGTAGCTCACTCGTGTCTTGTCGAAGGCGAGAGTCTACAGATAGGATTTGCTTTTAAAGGAAGATGTTTTTCTTGTGCGAAAAAAACCAACAACATTATTCTTAGATAACGATAACATATTTTTTTATCAGTGTGAAAATGTTTTTTCCAGTATACGAGTGGACACATTCCCAACAACAAGAAATCTTTCATATGATTGAACGTAGACTATCGTGTTTAAAGACATTTAACAATATTTGTTGTGAATAAAACAAACCACAGCATAAACATATTAAATTTAATATACTCTTTTATTTATTTGCAATTTTGCACAATATCATTGCAATATCGATAGTAACCCATCGGTCTAAGAGATATGTCGAACACGCATCACTTCTTGAGAAATGTATTTCCTGGTGCGCAAACATCCCCTCGTATGATTCTAATATCAACTATGAGCTGGAAGAAGTCGTCACTTTATATGAGCTCCCAGAAACTTTCTAAAAGAAAGGCTTATCCATAACATATTTGTAACTCATCTCTTTTTGTTTTTATTACCAACGGTATCTTTATTTGTTCTTTCTACACTTTTTCTCTTGATTTCACTTTATTCATCGTTTATTTATCTCTACTTTAACTTGTGTACTGTAAGGACTATGAAAGTGGTCGTCAGTTATTAGCAAAAAAAAATATTGATAGTAACTGTTTGTTGACTGTGCACCAGGCAACATTATATTTTCATCAGTATTGGACTCGGATTGGGTGATGAAAACAAAATTTAGATTTTCAATTGACTCTACTGTATGAATATTTCATAGATGAAAGGGATACTTTGAATGCTGTTCCATGTAAAAGTTCTTCATGAAATCGAGAGAAAAAATTAACAGAACAAAACTTTTGATACTGCGCAGTCTTTCGAAATAATGAACTCTCGATAAAAATTCTCTTGCAATATTACGAATTTCAGTCTACTATGAAGATAAAACTGTGCCATTAATGCTGATTATTGAAATGTCTCTCTGTTTGGGTTAGGCATTATTTAAGATGCTTTTTTTATGCAATGGTATCTCTCGAAATATGTCTTATCTATGCATGTAAGAAATGTCCTTTGCTTGCGTTCGTTCGCAATCTAGTTTTTGAGTCATGAGTCAACACATTTCGTCTTCAGTTTACTTTTTTTTGTAACATTAGTTAATCGTTTTTAGTTAAATCAAATTTTACTCGTCTTTATATTTTTATTCAGCTCAAATGTCGACACCGCCCCCCATCAAACCTGACAACCATATGAACAATTTTGAAGTTGTAAGTAGCGATGAAGCAGAATCGGAACTTCCAGGCGATTATGAGACGGGAAATGAACTACAAGATGCAGGAGTGTCGCGTATATCTATTGCTACAGGTTCGACAACTTCTAGTGATTCCGGGATTCGGCATTCTATCACACTATATATGCTGCGCAAAGTTGATCCTAATCACAAGTGGCAAATTCAGGCTGTGTTTAGTAAAAAAAGAAAATTTGATTTCAATCGTAGTGAAGCTTTGAGTTTCCACCAGGTTAGTTCATTCATCAAAATCTACTATCACTAATCATTATCACTCTCTGAAAAATTTACCACTGATGTGCCATGATGTTCAAAACCAAATAAACTAACGTTGTCATAGGCATCTTCGATACTCAACTTACGAATGCTATGTCATCTCTATACAATCTTTAATAAATTGAATGCTGATTAGAAACTATTGTGAGGCAACAGCGAACTATAGCTTCGTTTTTGCTTTAGGCTAGTACAAACAAAAATGAAGAAGTCCCAATGCTCTACCGACTTAAACTGTTCTTCATCTACAATGATAAGCGACAAGTTTGTGTCTATGACGACGGAAAATATTATATAACTAGTTCATTTAAAATTCGCATATCTGAACCAGGAATAGCCCACACGTCTCATTACTATGCCGATTCACTCCATGCTCTCATGATTAATCCATCGGTGTCGAATCAATTTTTATTTGGCATTCATTTCAAAAAAGGTGGTATTACTTCGCTAAAGGCCGCCGCTCCAGGTAAGAAAATACCGCACTCCAATATAATATCTACGAAAATAACCATTTTAGGCAGTAGCATATCATTGTGGGATAGTTTACCTATTTTTACATATTATCTTCTTCGTACACAATCTTACGATAAATGTGATGCACTCTTTGATCAATTTAAAATCATCGAAGAAAGTATTAGAATAATCATATCACCTGACGGTTTGGAGAGATTTTTATCTATGTGTCTTAAGTATTTATCAACAATTGAAAATGTTCTCAACCAAGATCTTAATGCACTAAAAGTTCTTATTCAGATGATAGCTCTTATACCGATAAGCAAACAAAATGTCTTCTTGGACAAACAAGCTTCAGAATTTGTGCCAGTCATTCTCAAGATTATCTCCGACAGGATCAATACTCTCATGGTAATAATCAATAAAAATGATTGGATATCTTTTTATAAAGGTTTAACACTACTAATTTGCATTAAAATACTTCATGAAAAAGATAAAAATGACACAGACAATACTATTGATTTATTGTCAAGAATATCTGAAAAAGGACAACGAGAAGATGCAGCATTGCAATTATTTAAACTATTCAAGCTTATAGAACGTAGATTACCAGGAAACAAAATGATGGAGTTGTATAAATTGGTGAATCCGAAGGATCTCTCCTTGGAATATCTCGAACCAACTGTTTCATGGGAAACGTACATTTATGGTCTCACTCATATTGTTGAAAATTGTGAATATTGTATGAATGATTTGGAAGACCATATAAAAGATCAACTTCGTAGATTCCTTAATGCGAATTATTTTCCAAGTAAGAAATAAGAAAACGAGAGAAAAAGCAAGTCATTTTTTCGGATTATTCTTTAGTGCTATTACCTGATGTTGCGTGGATTTTAACCTATTTGAAACAACAAACAAATAGCAACTCAACCCAAATAATTCAGCGTATTTTTCAAAAAAGTGATTCTTTGCAAATCAGCATTGAGAAGTATTTAGATAGTAGAAGCTATAGTATTACCTCGCATGAGTTTCCTCTCGTTCGTGATATTCTCATTCGTTCATATAATTCAGAATTAATGCACAATATAAATCGTCCAGAATATCTTTTACGTATGCTCACCTATCGAAAAGAGCATAAAACCGATCATTTTATCGAATGGTTCAAATGCTTTCTCTGTGAAACAGACGAAAACTGGATTAGGTATCAAAATTTAGTTTACCATTGGACCAACTGTTTCGTAAAAGATCAAATAGCTCTGTTCGAAATAATGAAAGAAGTCGATTCGCTTATCGATCTTTGGATCAAAGTTGCACCAAACAATAATCAACGCTCGGACTTTTTTGTGGCACATATGGTTACACAATGTTTCAGCCAAGGTAAGATAAATAGCTAACTGCTACCTTCAGTTAATTATGCCCAGTTTGACATTGTTTTTTTTATAGAGAACATGAACAATCTACTGAAGAACGCTTTACATACAGTAAACAATGAAAAATTTCTCGAAGCTTTCAAGAAACAATATGAAAAAGAAAAACTTGCCAATGTCAAGGGACAGCTTAGGAATTTAAAAGATCCCACAAATCCTTTATTTCAATTAATAAATATTGCTGAAGAGCAACAAAGACAAAATAAAATAGTGGAAGATCTAATCATTCTTGCTGCATCTATGATCGAAGTCGAAGACAATGAACTTCTCAATGATACTTTCAATAATCCATCTCGAGGTACATTTGTCTATCTTATTCTATTCGATAAATCATTAAGTTCACTCTCAATACATAAAACTATTGTTAATCGTTTGAGTCAACAGTGGACAAAATGGGAACAAGGAACCCTGTTAGCCAGTGATATACGAACTTGGGAAAACTTTCGAAAAGAACAAAAAGCTATCTTTCATGAAATATGGCCGTTGGTGGCAAAAGAAACCGAAAAAACAGTTGATATTGATTCAGTCTTCGATGTCTCATGTAAAGCTCTAAAAGCTAAATTAGAAACAAATGATAAAATAATTACATGTCTTGATACTTACTGCCAAGATGCAATCGATAAAAGTACATATGATGATCTTGTCAAAAATTGGCATGAACGCTTCGAAATAGAAAGCATTCATTTAATTGATATACCACCCGCTCTCTCCAATATTGTTGAATTCGCCGATGAACTCAATCCTTATGCAGCATCTATTGCTTGGAAAACTTATCTCGATCGACAAACAGCACCGAGTAGAAACAATCGATCACTAGAAAGAAATCCTATCGCGAGACAACTTAGTGAAGAATTAGACAACGACACTACATCTCGACAAGAGGAAGAATTTTCAACAGGTAGGATTGATATTTCTCGAAAAAAACCCTATCACGTCTACAAGTAATATTCTAGATATAATCCAGGAATCAATCTATAACAAAGTCAAAATGGAATCTATAGCCATATTAAAAGAAGCTAAAGAAATTCTAAAGCAATTCAAACAAATATTACAACATATATGTGAACGAGGTCGGCATATCCCCATTGAAAATATTCTTCGCTTATTTCCTGACATAAATCAAGCTAAAAATGATCTCAAAACATTGGCACCATTATTAATTAAAGACATTCTACCGTTACTTCGTTCTATTATTTCATTTTGGAAAAATCGTATTCGTATTCGATCTATCTGTACAGGTATTATGAATTTGAGTTCAAAAATATCTGTTGATATCGATCTAAATTTCTTACGGAAAGTTCTTTCTATTGATGCACGGACACCAATCCGAGTTTTCTCTTCAGCATATAAATATTATCTTAAAGACTTTAAAAGGAAATGTTCGGCCAATGTTCTAACATTGCTTTCATTTTATGGTTCATCTCAAGATTTATTCGAATTTCTTGATTCGCTGGCGGCGGATGATGTTTATAATTTACAAGAAGCTGTTAACGATTGGGATGAAACATTGATGAATACAAAAACTATTTTCGATTTTTCTACTGTGAAAAACTTTCTTGATCGTGCCTACGCATCAATTACAGAAAAACTAAAACAATTAAATCTTAATTCAATATCATTTGAGCATATAATCGCCTGTTTTGAAGATATTTTGACAAACAAGGAATTCAATGATCTTGCCAAATGTCTCCAATCATCAGCTTTGTCTTTAGCAAGTATCAAGCGTATCCATTTGGAATTAACCGACAAAGAACAATCGAAGAGACGTCAAATAGCCGATATTCTACAAAGTTCAAATATCGGGTTCGTTCGAATTGGACATCATGAAGTAGCCTTTGATATAAACATTGTACTTCAGAATCACCAGGAGCAACAACAAAAACAAACAACCGTGAATGAAGAACAGAAAATCCAAAATATTACATTTGCTGATATAAGTGAACTTCGTGATCGTGCACGTCTACTCGAATACTCTAGTAATACACAAAAATCTGATAAAAATCAGCATGATGTGGATAAATTACGTCATTTTATAGAATTTGTTAGTGTCGTTGAGACAACTCTTGAAACGCTAACAAACTTATATAGGACTGGTTATCCATTAGTATCACAATTTCTTATCACAGAAAGAAAGTTTTCATGTGTAAATGGAAACTATGATCAATTGACACAAAATAATACAACATTAGCCAATTTACTTAATAGTTGGGAAAAGAAATTACTTTCCCTGTACGAAATTTATAATGATTTAACATACTTTACAGGCGATCAATTTCAGCTTATCGAAGATTATATTTACAAATCATTATCAGTAACTGATCCTGGTTATCATCTTCTTCGGTTTATTGATATTGGTCCAAAGTCAATTAAAAAAATAGATAAAACATCAGAAGAACCTGAAGATCGTTTAGAAAATCTTGGGGATTTACTTTCAAAATCACGAGTAGAAATATCTTGTCAGAAAGAAATTTTGAAAAATGAAAAAATTCTTCTGGTTGAAACGACAAATGAAGGTATTCTTCGTGCAATTCTATCTCTATTTCAAAAAACAAACACTCCACCGCATATTCGGCATATTTTCTATTGTACAACACGAACCAATTGGATACAAATTCGTGCATTTGTCTATCGCTGTTTCTATTCGAAATCATTTCATCAACTTATTCGACCTGAACTTCTTTCCCAATCAATTCAAGATCAATTTTTTCGTTTATTACGTTCATTGATTAAAGAGAAACCGGATCAATATTTTCGCATTGGTATTATAACGGCCACTACCATGAAAAATCAGCAGTTGATCAATGGACTTCGATCGATGCGCATTGTCGATATTCTACGTGATCAAGATTTATTAAATAAAGCCGAATTACAGAATTTAATTCAAGAGATGTATAAAAATTGTAAACTTGTCACATCGCGAATATCTGGTCTAGGAAAATCTGCATGTATTCGTCAAGCAATAGAAAAATCTAACAAACGATATGTGAAAATTCCAATCTATGGTGATTTCGAAATTGATACATTAGCTGAACGTTTGCGTTCACAATATTCTCAATTTGAAACAGGCTCCATTCATCTTGATATCGGTACGGCTGCTAATACTCAACAATTGAATGAAGTTCTTTATTGTCTATTACTTTTTCGAAATTTTCGATTCGGACAAGTAGCTGTTTCGATACCTACTGAAACTACTATTTATATAGAACTTGATGCATCATCTGATGCAACAGTCAATAAATTACCATTGTTACAATATATAACACCATCGATTATTGTTGAAAACATCGACTGGATGATTCTAAATATCGAGCAGGATGGAATTCAAGCTGTGGCCAATTATTTACAAGCTATCAATAATAAAACTATTTTTCAACAAAATTTTAATTCATCAAAATTTGAAAAATTAGATGTTAAAACATGTGTACATCTTATTCAAGCTTTATTTCTTCCGAATAAAGATGTTGAATACATAACATGGACTCAATTATCAATTTTTGTTGCCGTATTTCAACGCTTATTTACTGGTTTCTCACAGTGTGGTTATTTCTTATTTGACTGTGTTCAAGAATCAGCACGTCCATTGAATATTGTTCAAAAACGTCGAGCGGAGCTTGTTCAAAAACTTCGAGTGGAGCTTGTTCAAATACTTCTTAAATCATCAAATCAATTTACTTCACTTTCAGTTGAATCTGTTCGTAAACAACAACGATCAGCTGCCAATGGCGAGTCAACGACTTTCAGTGATGCTATCATTCGGTGGGACACAATTCAACCGTTTACATTAGTTTTCACGGCAAGTGATGAGCCACTTTTTGTGTACAAGAAGCCAACAGATGTACCAAAAGCATTAGTCGACGATTTCAAATTTTATTATCAAGCAACAAGACAAGCCCTGGGCAACCACGCTCACCAGATTACGACTAAATCCATGCTGAATTTCGCGAAATACCCTCGGATTCTATCGAAATCCGATAAAATCCCAGCCGGAACCCAGGAACAAGGATTGAGTGACCCTGAAAATGGCATGAACGAACAAAGCATGTTTCCAGATTACAATACGCTTGGCCATACTGAACTGTTTTTCAAATTAGCTTCACTCTCAAATAAATATTTTAACAAATCGATTTGTCCGAAATGTTTTGGGCAATATGATTTTCAACAAGTAGAATGCGATAAATGTGCGAGTCAAGAAACACTTATTCGGCCGACGTCATACGATCATAAAGATGTCCAACAATTCCAAATTGATATAGCAAAAAGACTTCAAAGTAGTTATGTTCTTACACCAGATAATTTCATTAAAATGCTTCTAATTTATATGCGAGTGCAAAGTGGTATTCCTGTGTTGATTATGGGTGAAACAGGATGTGGAAAAACATCCTTAATTCAATTTTTATGCCAAAAAGTCTTGGATCAAGAACTAGAAATATTTCGTATTCATGCTGGTGTTACAGCTGATATTATTATCAAGAAGATGAATGCATACATTAAAATAGTTCAAGCTTACACAGGTGAAGAAAAACGTTTATGGATATTTTTCGATGAATTTAATACGACAACAAACATTGGTCTTCTTAAAGAGATAATGTGTGAGCGAACACTGCTCGGAGAACCATTGCCGAATAAAATGGTTTTTCTCGGTGCTTGTAATCCTCGGCGACAGAAAACAGCACAGCGTATTCAAAACGATAATGCGCATGTTGGACTACGTAAAAATCGTTATGAAATGCAAAAACTTCTCTGGGCAGGTACTGATCAACGTCTTTTGTATACGGTGGTACCAATGCCGGAAACCATGCTCGAATATATTTGGGATTATGGCTATCTAAATGAAACAACAGAATTAGATTATATAAAAACGATGTTATTACGATGTAAATATCTTTCAAATTTCAAGGTTATTTACAATCTTATGATTCGACTTCTTCTTCAATCTCAAAATCATTTTCGTCAAATAGAAGATGCAAGTAGTGTAAGTCTACGAGATATCGATCGTTTTTGCCGTCTTTACAATTGGTTTCTTGAGTCAATACGTCAACGTGGCACGCAGGAAAATCTAGACAATCCACCTGAAACTTATATTCATCGAGCGAGTTTTATCGCATTAATGGTTTGCTATTATTTTCGTTTGCATTCAGACGAGTTAAAGGACGCTTATGTGAAAAAAATTCACACGATTGTGGTGGAAAATAATCCAGAATTAGACAAGACGCCCAACTATTTAATAAGCTGTATTCTTCATCGTGAACAAAAATGGTTGATTAACGATCGAATGGAAGTACCGCCAAATACGGCTAAAAATCGAGCCCTTCGTGACAATATTTTTGTTCTTCTTGCTTGCATTGTCAATCGTATACCGTTGTTTTTATGTGGTAAACCTGGTAGTAGTAAGTCATCAGCCGTTCAAATTCTTATTAGCAATTTAAAAGGAAAAAAATCAACAGATTCCTATTTTCAAACATTACCTGAACTTGTCGCTGTTTCATTTCAAGGTTCACAAAATTGTACGTCAGAAAGTATAATCAAAGTTTTTAAACGTGCTTTAAAATATGTTGGGGTTCGAAATGATTCTGAAATATTACCTGTGATTGTTTTTGATGAAATTGGTCTTGCTGAACTTTCACCACATAATCCATTGAAAGTCTTACATGCCAAACTTGAAGTTGATGATTGTAAATATGGTTTTGTTGGTATATCAAATTGGCGACTTGATGCATCAAAAATGAATCGAGCACTCTATCTGTCAACACCAGATCCCGACGTTGCAGATTTGCAATTGACAGGTGTGAATATCGCTCAAAGCATGCAGCAACAAATTGGAGGATCAGCAGCTCCCATTGACTTATTAGTTATTGATAGTCTTGCTAAAGCTTACTATGATTTATATGTACATCTGAAAGAAAGTCAACGGGAGTATGAAAATTATTTTGGTCTTCGAGATTATTATTCACTTATAAAAGGTATTATTCGCGACTCAATAATTGTGAAAGACAAAGATAAGCTATATGGAATAATTCGAAAACAACTCAAGATTAATTTTGATGGTGCTTATGATGGCTCACAATATCTATGGGAACAATTTTGTAATTACATTAATAGACGAAATATAATTGCGCAATATAAATGTCCTCTTTTTAATTATCTTCTCGATCAAACTCTTCGTACTCGTTCAGGTAGATATCTAATGCTTATTGCTGATAATGACAGTGCAATTGATTATGTCGAGCGCTACATTAATGTCCATCAGCAAAGACAAAAGAATGTTGTTCGTACAATTGTTGGTAGTTCATTTCCTGGTGATCACAGTTCGGGTAATGTCTATGCAGAAGATTATAATTATCGAGTTTTAATGGATATTATACTTTATGCGGAAACACCTATAACTTTAATTATGCGTCAAATGGGCCATCTCTATGATAATCTTTATGATTTATTTAATCAAAATTTTGCTGTATCGGCACAAAAAAAATATTGTCGCATTGCTTTAGGAGCACTTTATCATCCACGCTGTCTTATTCATGATGCTTTTTATTGTATAGTTTTCATTCATAAACGCGATTTAGATCAATGTGATCCACCGTTTCTCAATCGTTTCGAAAAGCATACTATTGACATTCAAACATTAATACACGAACGTCATTGGTTATTATCTCGACAACTTTATGGTTGGCTTGAGAATTGCTTGCCAAATAATCTTGGTAGTAATTTTCCTCTTTTACAACATCTTTTCGTTGATTATAGTCAAGATCAATTATGCAGTCTTGTTATTGACGCTTGTGAACAATTAAACATTTCAACTGACGATGAAAACACACCGGAAAAAAATCTTCAACTAATAAATTATTGTCAAGAAAAATTACTTCGTGCCGCTTCATTCGATTTACCATTGACTCTTTCAACGCAAACATCATCCGAATGTCAAAATTTGATTCAACAATATTATGAAATGCGCCA